CTGTTTTAGAGGACCGTGTGTTCCTGCCAAGCCCACCTCTCCAAGTATCTGCCTCCCCTGCAGGAGACTTCTGGGTGCCCCGCATGTCTCTGGGCCTTATCAGGACATTAATTTTGGCCTTGCCTGTGGTGCTCACAGTCTATCAGCGCTGTCAACAGCTTACGTATTCTGCTGTCTGGAGCGTGGCCTGAAGAAGACAGGCCCAGGAGCATCTTGGTGCCTTTCAGGAAGTGAGAAGGTCAATGGCACATGGACAAAGAGACATTCACCACCTTTCCTATGACTTCAAGGCCATACTGAGGAAGGAGTGTGGGGGCGGGCTGCCATGGACCTCAGGGCTGGGAATAGAGCTGTCTCTTTCTGTGAACAACCAGGGATGGAGTCATGGGAAAGCCCTGAGGTGGTGGTAGAGGGAACCAGGAACTGTCCTGCAACCAGGTCAGAGAGCCTCCACGAAGTGACGGGGCGCTTCTCGGAGAGCCGGGCTCAGAGCCATCTGAGCAGGTGTGTGACCCACTCAGAGGCGGGCAGGGTGAGGGAGAGACAAAGACCGAATTGTTGCTAGCTATAAGTACTCGTTAGCATCACAGCTACTGCCCTTGCACATCAGGTATCAGGAGCTCAGACTTTGGGGATAGTAGGCCTGGGGGTGGTGCTGAAGCTGGTGACGGTGCTGATGATACTGGCACTGGTGATGGTAGCCATTGAAACAGCGGGTGTGAGGAGCTCAAGGTTACCCACGGTTTATGCCCCTCCCTTTGCATTTTCCATCAATGCCTCATCTGCCCACTTGCTTATTAAATACCTTTTCTAAAGTAGGTAGTTGGCTAGGCATTCTTGCTCCAGGCTGTGCCAACAATGATCTGGTGTCCCAGTGCCAAGCTCCTCTAGAGAAGAGCAGAGGTCTCAGGCTGCCAGGGAAAGCCTGCAGGGACTTAAGCACCTCGTGGGGAGGGTGGAGGAGGAAGTACAGGCCACGGGCACAGCACAGCAAAGGCATGGAGGTGGGGAGCCCTGTGGGCTGGGTCCAGGGAGGGGTTAGAGGCACAGGAACCACAGGAGGGGAGGCAGCGCTCGAGAGGTGCTTGGATCAGAGGAGCTTGGGAGGTTTCTGATAGCAATAACCATGGGCTGGGGTGCATCTCCAGCAGGAGATGGAGGGGGCGCAGTGAGTCTGGGAGGCTGGAGCAGGTCGGCACTCTGTGGCTTTAAGGGAGGCCTTTTGTCAACCACCTAACTCCTTCACAGGGGGCTGCTCCCTGAGCTTCCCTGTGTTTCGGGGCTCCAGCTCTGGGCCAGCGTGCGTGCTGACCTGCCTGCCCAGGACCCTGCCACCTGACTTGGCCTTGGAGATGGTAGCCGCAGAGGCAGGGCCTGGCCTCAGAGTTGGCATGGGGATGCTCCCTGACTGCCTGCTGCTGGGGCTGTGAACAGAATGCAAGTTGGGCAGTGGAAGGTGCTTTACTGGCCTGGTTTGTGCAGTTTGCTCAAACCACAGGTGATTCATGTCTCACTTGAGCTTCGAGTCTCCTTTTGCAGCCCGGGATCAGACTGTTTTTTCACAGTCACTAAAGGCTTTTTGCTGGCCCCGCTGTGTGGGAGAAGAACTCCCTCTCTGTGCCAGAAAAGAATCATGGGTGTCGGCTCCTAACCCCCTTCTCTCTGAGCTCCTTTCTGACAGCCCTGTATGGAGTGGGGAGGAGGTGCCTGCTAGTGTGAGTGTACAAATGGGTGTATGTGGTAGGTCAGCAACAAACCAAAAGCCAACAACATCTGGGCCTAGCCCTTGCTGCCTCAGGTTGTAACCAGTTTGCGCCTCTCTGGGCCTCAGTCGCCCACCTGTGTAGTCAGATGGGGGTCGGGGTGGCCCTATTACTCTGTGCTGGCCAGGCCTAAGAGCCCAAGTGGACACTCTATTGCAGTGGGAGGGGTAGATCCACAAGCTCTAAAACCAAACATCACCTGCAACCACCAGAGAAGCAGCCGCTCTCTTGAGGGTGCAAAACCACCCAGTGAGAGGGGTCACGCACTGGTCAAGGGCAGAGCCAGGACTGTCTTCCAGTTAGAACTTATCCAGTAGAGTCAATGCTATGGAGCAAGAGCACGTGCTTTGCTCAAAACCAGTGCCTGCAAGTTGAGTTAATGACTGCATTTTTTTTTAAGGTTTATTTATTCATGCAAACAGAACTGGGGTACAGGCCAGAGGTTCAGGGACGGCGAGAGGCTTCACCAGAGACAGAGTGGGGAGCAGAACAGGCTGACTGACAAGTACACTGCTGAGGGGAGCAGTGGGCGGGTCAGGAGAGGTCTGCCGCGCCATGTGGTCACCTCCGGGGCAGGCAGGAATCGAACTCATGCGGAAGTGGCTTTAGCTTCTCAGTGCAGTGCTTTAACCCGCTGTGCCACCAGGGAGGGCCTAATGAGTGTTTTTTAACCTCAAAAGTATCCACCTCTTTGGAAACTGATAATGGGAACCCATGGGTGGCATCCAGCAAAGCACACCTATTTGAGTTTGTGCACGATATTTTTTAGCAAATAACATTTACCCGCCAGCATCAATATCAGGAGAGTCCACAAGTCTAGACTGTTTCTCTTGAAATCTCAGAAGCCCCGGGCGGCCCAGTGTCACCTCTGTGGGGCGCTCTTGGCTCTGAGAGCTGTGAGCAGCTGCCCTCCCTGGGGGCTGTCCCTGTACCAGTGGCCTCACCCTGCACCCCAGTCTCCTTCACTATCCAGTGACTAAGAAAAAGCACGCTGGCCACTCTGGAGGTCACTAGATGGATGTCCCTTCCTCATGTGCCATCTGAGATCATCTTAAATAGCTCCTCTCACAGTGCTGTGGCCTCATAAAGAGCCCTCTGTGCAGGGTCATTCTTAACCGAGCCCTACCAAGGCGGGTGCCACATAAGTTGGGCTCATGAAAAACAGCCTGTTCCCTGCACCACACACTGCTTCCTAGAAAGACTGTCAAGAAGCTTTGCATCAGGTGAGTTCAGGGGAGCACGGAGAATAGCCTGTATCCCCCTAGCAGGAGCTTAGAGCCCGCACCTCACTGCCTCTCTCTTCCTACCTCCCAGGCCCCAGGATGGCTATTCTGGATTCTGCCTGTGATCTGTGTGTGTTGGCTGGCATTGAGGTTGGGCGCTCAGAGGGATACTGACCAACCTAGCTGTATCAGGGACGAAGGACCCAGGCAGGGGAGCCAAAGATGGGAATCCGCAGAAGAACGTAATAAGTCTCCTGTCACAGGGAGCTCTCAAGCCAAGACTGACAGCCTCCACCCTGTGTGGGGGTGCGGGCTAGGTCTCCACTGAGACCCTGATTCTTTCATGTGCTGTGTTTTCTAGCCTGAGGAGCGTTCTTGGCATTTAGTCAATTCTTACGAGATTGAGAGCTGAGTTCCTCCCTGGGAGGTGCCAGTTGGAGGCAGGGTGCCGGGGGACCTGGATTTCACACAGGGAGTGTGTTTGCTCTGACATGACTTTAGACAAGTGTTAGTTAACGTCCCCAAGTCATTTAAGTCAGGCACTTACAGTCACGTCTGTCTCTGCTTCCTGGTGTCTGTGAAGCACTGACCTTTACAGAATAGCCAAGGGCCATCTTGTGGGTGGCTTCCTGTCCCCTAGTAGGGACAGAGGGACAAGTGTCTCCCCTCTGGCTATCTGCTGCTTTATGTGGGAGCACAGGATGTCACGCCACGAGGGTCCAGCATCCCCTAGTCCACCCACTCTTGGGGAGCCTGGAGGGCCCTAGCCAGTCCAGGGGTGCCCACAACCAGCCAGCGGGGGTGCTGCATGCTCCTCTCTCACACCTCCTGTAGGGGAGAGCTGGTGGCCCCGGCTTAGGCTTCATGGAGCGCCCGCTACTCAAACAGCCTTTCTGCCCAGGGAGCCCAGGTGCAGCTTGCGGGAGGTGGTGTGGAGTTTGCCTTTGAGCGGGACTTGGAAACAACTTGTCCTGAAAGCTTAAACCAGCAGTTGTCAGAGGTGCTCATGTGGCCTCATGTTGGAGTAAAGTGAGCTCCAAGTCGGTGGCTGCAGGCCGTGCCAGAGCCTCCACAGTCCTGTGGTGCAATGTTGAGTCTGCTCCCTTGGGCGCCATGGCCCAAACTCCGTTGACCAAGGACACGTGTGTGCCGGGAGCTCTGGGCTGGCTTGGGTGAGGCACGCCTTTGGGAGTGCTGGCCTGGCCGCTTGGAGACGCAGGGAAGTGTATTCCAGGAGGTGGCGCACTGTGAGGGGACACGGCAGAGTGAAGGTGCAGGAGACCTGCAGGGATAGCAGGTGGTCTTGACTCCAGCTTGGGAGCTGGAAGGAGCAGAGGGGACTGACAAGGGGCTGGTGGAGGCAGATTGTCAGCCCCAAAAGGCAGGGTGCCCCTAGTGGGACACTGAAAAGCCGGTCACCTCCTGTAGCCTCTGGAAAGAGACTCACCCTCCTCCGTGCCCTCCCTCCCACCCCCAGGGGACACTCTCCATGTGGGAAGCAGAGGGATGGCTGATAGCAGGGTGAGAGAATGAGTCCAGTCTGACCCTAAATCTGGCGGGTGTGTGGAGAAGACGGCCTGTTCCCTCCAGGGAGGAATCTTCCCCTGCGGGCTTCCCCCGCCACACAGCAATGTCCAGGCAGCTCTCCTGCCTGTCTTCGGGAGGCTCCAAGCCTGGCAAGTGGCCTGGGTCTGCTGGCGGCTGATGAGCCCCTGGAGGGGAAAGCCTGGCTCACAAAGCTTGCCAGTGTCCCTGGGGGACCCCTTCCTGTAGGCTGACCTGTGTCGCTAAAGGGAGAGCTGGGAAGAAATGCTGTGAATTCTCAGGGAATTGAGATTTAAGTATGCATTACTTGTAGCTATATGTACTTAAGTATAAGTTTATATGATTTAATTTCTAATGAGGACTATGTTTAACAAGCAGCCAGTGGTTGAGAGCCACACTTACCCCCCCACCCCCGCCCTTCCACCAGGGCTTTCTCTGACCCATTTGTCTTTTTGTCCTGTTTCTCTAGGCAGACACGGGAGCAGGAGACACCCCCTGACTTTTTTTACTTCTCGGACTATGAGAGGCACAATGCGGAGATTGCAGCCTTCCACCTGGACAGGTGAGCCCTCCCAGGCCTCCCAGGTGTCTGCATCTCTGCCCCTGATGGGAACAGAGGCCCGTGAGCCTCCCATGGCCCAAAGCCCCACATAGAGACCCTTCCTCTCACACAGACAGGACCCTGCCCTTGGGTGCCCGTCGGCCAGGTGTACATGCCCACTCCTGGGCACAGGCCCCAGAACACTGCTTGATGGGAGAGTCTCAGGAAGGCAGAGATCATGGGGTGGCCAGGTGGGCACTTGGCATTAAGGGAGGAAGAGGGATCGAGTGCAGAGTGCTGTGCATATTACCACAGAGAACTACAGGGTAGAAACCTCTCTGGGAGGTCCCAGTGAGACAGGAGACTCAAAAAACTGGGGCCCCCGTAGGATCTCCTATCTCCTCGGAGGGAGAAGCTGTTATTAGCAGAATGTGCACTCCTTTTGGGAGTGGCCCCTGGCTGGAGGGCCCCCCGTCAGTCCCTGTGCATGAGGTGGACTTAGCAGCTGCTAGGGCTTGCTCAGAGCTACATACCCTCCGGGAGGGGTGCTTCATGAGCTCGGCTGTGGGGCCAGCTCCAGGATCAGAGGAATGCAAGACCCCTGCTTCAGCCGTCTGGAGCTTCCTGTCCACAGGTCAGGGCACTGCCTGACAGTGGCTCCTGGCCTCCTGTGGGTATCCTGCTACCCACGACCGCAGCATCACTATCCCCATCTGACTGTAATGTGGTTTCAGGGCTCCAGACCTTCCAACCAGAATCTGCCTTTTAATAAGATTCCTGATGATTCAAGTGAACATTAAAGGTTGAAAAGCCACTCATTTACCATCAAAAATCTTATCTGGTGGCTACACAGCCCCTCAAGTCAGATGCTCTACAATCAACTACCTAGAATACCCTGAACCCAGACAAGGGCCTTCTATGAAAAGGGGTTGTTGTGAAGTCTGTGAGAGTTACTCGTTAGGAATCGTGGAGGTTATGTGTGCACAGGACACCAAGCCCCGGGCTGGTGCTGGCCCCGGGGTGGAGGTGGCGCGCCAGACCCGCCGTCCTGCCCGATGGTCCACATTCCTTTGAGCCTGCCGCTCTCCCAGGGGACAGCTGCGCCCTCCCGGGCCACACCCCTGCACGCACATCTGGCACTTGGCATTTGGTGGAGCGGCAGAAAGTTCCATTAAAACTGGCTCATTTAGTTTCAATTTTTTTAAACTCAGTACTTTTATGAAGTCATTTTAGTTGCCCAGGATTTTTGAGGGCTAAGGCCAGGAAAGCAAAGCACTGCCAGCTCACTCTATGCCACTGCCAGCCACAGGCCCCAGTTGGGCATAAAGAAGGCAGAGGGAGGCGAGTTTGTGCTCCAGCTTGGAGAGGTAAGAGGGACCACAGAGTAACTACCTCCCCCCCCCCCCTGCCAGGATCCTGGATTTCCGTCGGGTCCCCCCAGTGGCCGGACGGATGGTCAACATGACCAAGGAGATTCGGGATGTCACTCGGGACAAGAAGCTGTGGAGGACCTTCTTCATCTCTCCAGGTGCTCTGGGTGGGGCCCTCCCCCTACCTGCGCTGGGCACACCCCCCACCCCTGCCTCCCTGAGCACATCCCTACCCCCAGCTTACTGCTCACACCAACTGGAGCTTAGTCACCTTTTTCTAACAACAAGGAAATCATTATGGAACACAGTTCCTCACTTCTCAAAGTGCTGCGCTCCCTTCTCTGTGGGGTTTTCACTCTACATCATGATTTAAAGGGCTGCCGAGAATGGCTGTGCCATCAGCGTCACCCACTGGGTCCCCTGGATGGGACAAATAGGTCCGTTCCCCCATTTGTTGGTTTTCAAGTTCAGAATGAATTCTAGCCTCTCTAGGAATCTTCACCCTGTGCATTGGTAGAGGGGCCCTCTGCCTGCTGAACTCCTCACTAGGTTAAGGCACCCCAGCAAGACCCCATGTAGCGACACGGGCTGCCGCCTCCCCTCCTCACCTCAGCAGCTGGACAGGGGGCTGGAAGGACACCCTGTGCTCATGTACAATGCTAGTGTCTGTTGAAGGCAAAAGTCTCAACACTTTGTGCCATGACTCTTCAATGCACACAGACGTATAAATGCCATACTGCGTTACCTGCCCCAGGTATCTCGAAGCTGGCGTTTGAGGCTCCAGGGATGCGCCCACCCCCTCCCGAGTCCATCCTGTACCAGGCCCTGTGCCAAGTTAATAGAGAGGAAGCGTGTCCCGGATTTCTGCTCACACTGTTCAGGGAAGGTTCCTGGGGGATGGGGGAGGGGTTTCCCATGGTGGCAGTGCATGATCCCCTCCCACTCCCACCACTTTTTTTTTGACATCTTTGCTAATTCATGCAGATAAAACTCAAGTGAGGCCCTGACTAGCATAGTCTGCTGGCTCACGGACATCTAAACGTTCGCCGCATAGATTTTCTGATCGATAGACTCTGCATGTTGTTGTAACTGTGCTCATAAACCTGTCAGAATCACAGCCATAAACCCATAGTTTAGCGAAGCTCCATTCTAACTGTCCAGCGCTCACCTCACACAGTTCCTTATGCCCAGAGGCCATTAATAAGGGGCAAGGAGGACAGAGATCCCTAGAGGAGGATGAATGTTTTCCACCCCCTTTGCCGGACAAAGTCCTGCCTCACATAACCAGAAATCAAGGGTGAAGTACGAGCCTGAGAGCGGGGCCGGGCGGGCAGGTTTCCAGCCTCCTGTGCGTCAGCTTCACAGCCCCAGTGAAGGGAGCTCAGAGCTCTCAGGTGATTCCGTTCCTGTTTGCACCCCCGGGGCGGAGGCAAAGGGCTGGAACTCTCTCCCTGGCCTGGGTCCTAATGCTTTCTGGGGATCCCCGAGCTTGTTCCTCCTCTGCCTCAGCCCACTGGGGGCTTGCTGTGACCTCTTCTCCGTCCTGAGCGCCCCAGTTTCTACGCTGACCCCAGTAACGATCACCTTGGCGTCTGGACTGGGCCTGGTCCCCGGCCCCTGGGCGGGACCACCTGCCGGGCTGCTACCCCAGCCCTGTGGCTGCTCTTCCTGGCTTTCACTGCAGTGTTTGTAGTGATGTGGTCAGTGGCTCAAGCACAGAGAGTGAGTGACGTTCCAGACCCCTCGTGCCCACCGCCCGGTTTAGTGATTGACAACATTCTTCGTCTTAGACTCCATCTTTCTGTTCTGGCCTCTTTTCTGCACCAAATGAAAGGTGTAGGGTCAGGCAGAGAGTAACCACTGCTGCACCTGTTGCTGCTGAGAACATCTCATGGTGTGGCCACCCAGGCTGGGGGGTGTCACCCGCTGAAACTGAGTCTTCCCCAGGTGTGCTGCCCTTCCCCAGGTCTGCCAAGTGTGCTCAGCGCCCCCAGACTCCCACAATGGGGCCCAGCAGTGGGGAGGGAGGGGCTGGGGCAGCCCGTAGCACCTGGACAGCTCCTGTAAGGGCCTGAGAATCTTGCCCTGTGAAAGGCCAGTTCTGCATGCACGGCGCCCTCCTGAAGCCTCTCCCCGAGGTCTGGCTTTACCTGAAACTGCACACACAGTGCGCTCTACAGTGCTTCTGACCCTACCGCCCTGCTCTGTCAGCGCGTTCTCTTCCCAGCAGCTTTGGAAATGTTGGCTTTTCTCTGAGTAGCAGGATGACGGGAACTAGCTTTGATCACGAGATCTGCTCAGATTCCGTTGTAGGCGTTTGCTTTGCTGGACCCATCTGATGCCAGCATCGCCATAGATCCTGAGCTTTGCTCAAGGGCCAGGCGCACATTGGAAAAGACTTTAATCTGCCACAGATTTCCTTTCTGCCTCCAGGGGCCAAGTAACTGCTGTGCGGTCAATCAAAAAAGGGAAAATCTATGCAGCCAGGGGGAGAGCGAGGCTGGGTTGGAGGGGTGAGTGGCAGCACCCTGCTCTGTGCAGCCCAGGAGAGCAGCAGCAGGGTGGCGGGTTACCATGGAGGCTGGAAGGAAGAAGGCAGCTACCCTGCTGGGCCGTTGCCACCCTGTGGCCCCACAGTGACCACCAGGGCTGTGAGCACTCGCCCTCAGGGGCAGCCATGTACCCAGCATGACGCAGACACAGGAGGGCTGGGGCAGAAGCAAGTCTCTGGGCCGTGGCACTCATAGAGCACATCCTGTACTTTCTGGCCAGTTTCTGCCCCATGATGTGCATCATGGAGCTGACACATCAGCCACTCGTGGTTCTTTCTACAAGAACCACCTGTGAAACCCAGGACAAGCGGTGGGAGTGAGTGGCTCGGAAGCCTCTGCCCTCCCAGGCACTCAGCCCGTGTCTTGCCATTGGCCTTCCTCCTGCCACAGTGGCTCAGGCCTGGCTCATTGTCAGGACCGTCCATGCACCAAGGACGGTGTTCAGCTTAAACTCTAGGTCCGTGCGTGCCTCTGTAGGGCCCCTGGTGCCGGTGACCGTCACTGTACTTTGGAAGCATCCAGTTGGGGTGGGGTGGCAAGAGCCCTGTTTCCCAGGCTCCCCTTGCTGCTGGGCTGCCCCCTGACTTATTTGGAGAAAGGCCCCGCTGTGATCCCTCTGGCTAAGGGGTGGAGGGATGCTCTTGACCCTGTGGAAAGCCACATGTTACAGCCCCGTGGAGTCCAGGGTCCTCCCTCAGATGCTGTCTGTTTTATTCCTAAGATGAAAAGCTGCTGCCTTCCTCCCAAGCCCGGCCCTCCCTGCCTGACTGGCCACTGGCTTGGTTCCAAACAAATATCCCTGACGTCTCCTGGATCCCCTCATTTACTTCTCCGCCTGTGCGGCTGGCGCTGCTGAGCCCTCGCTGCAGACGAGGAGACAGGCACAGAGAGGTGTGGTGTCTCGCCTGAGGCCACACAGTGGACAGTGGGAGCCACTGGCTGTCAGAGCTCCACTGTGGCTGCCCCTTTAGAAACTGGATTTGAATCTGATGGGGAAAAGCCGTGGACCATGAAATGCCTCTCTCTCTTAACCCGATACCATCTAAAGCCGGCTTAGGCTATTAGAGTTGATGAATTCCAGGCTCCAGCCAATGAGATGGGATAAAGATTTTCCTCCTGAAAATGGATCTGCCTCCTTGGTTGAGGTTTATTGTGCCACTGTGAGCTGCTGACTGAACCACTGACACATAGATGCGATCACACACCAGGCTTCTGTCCTTCCTACTGCAATTATCAGCTGCTTGCTCAGGGTTCAGGGGACAGGGTGGGAGAGGAAGTATCTGGCTCCCTAAGGCCAGGAGACTTGCATCATGCCTGAGGGGGGACTGGCCCTCACCCTCTGACTTCCGCTTGACACAGCCTGGTCATCGTCATACTTGGAGCTGAGATGGGCCCGAGGGCTCGTTGTTACCTTCCAGGGGAGCGTGACCATCCCTGTGACCTGCAGGTTCCCAAAAAAAATGGGAGACCCACTCCAGCAGGCTGTGCTGCAGGCGGAAACACATGGGCTGTTTGCACAGATGGGAAGCAGGTTGTAAGTGATGCGTGGGGCACTGGCTCCCATATTCTCCACACCCAGGCTCTTGAGAGCGTCTCCACTAAACAAAGCAATTACACATGAGAGCATGGATTCCATCAGTAAACAGACACATGAGTATAGTCACACGCCCTTCAGGCCTGATCCCTAGTTGGTAATCGACCTGGGCCTCCAGCCATGAACAGTGGCACCTGACCAAAGAGGTGTGTGCTTTTTAAATAACTCTTTTTTATTTAGTTAATTCACACACCGTAACATTCACCACTCTGAAGCATACAATGGAATGGTTTTTGCTGCATTCAACATGCTGTGCAAACTCGGGACTGTCCAGCCACTGCAGCTGGGCACCTCGTCACTCCAGGTGACCCTGGTGGTGCTGCTGCACAGCCTGCTGGGCTTGGGGCTGCCTGGCCAGGGAAAGAGTTAACCTATGGGATGCCATGGATGACCTGGCAAGAATCCCACGCAAGGGGATGGTTCCATTTAGAAGATGCTCCTGGTGGTGGTGGTGGGGGGGTGGGGAGCAGGGAATGACCTGACCCACTGGATCGTTTGTAGCTACTCAGATTTCCACCTTCTGTTAGTGGGATGTTGGATGGAAGAGGTGGTGACCCTGGAAACAACTGGAATGGTTCAGGTGGCTCAGGTGGATGCCCCTGGAGTGATCTCTGGGGTCATGGGGACCATTGTGGCCACTGTGGTTGGGGGGACTTCCAGCTTTATTGCCACCAGAAAAGGAAGGTGGGCAGTGAAGGCAGACACGGGGGGGCTCACTGCTCATTTGGGTAGATGGATAAAGAGAGTCCTGGAGCCCTCTGTGAGTTTTTTATAGGCCCTGCTGCTCTCTCAGGGAACCAGGTACAACAGGCAGGGAGGCTGGCATGCAAGGAGGCAGGCGTAGGCTGGGCAGGGATTGCAGGGGAGTCGGGGGGCTGGCAAGTTTCTCACCCCTGGCAAATCTTTGCTCACGCTCTCTGACCTCTCTTCGGTATTCTCAGCTCAGTGGCCTCGCCTCTCGACATGGTCGTCTCTGAGGGACACCACCTTTAGAGCACTGGACGGGCACGGGTGCCCTCACTTACATGTGTGCATGCCCCTGATCTCTGGGCCCAGGTGTCCACAATCAGAGGTTCATGTGCCCCGCACCCATTCCGCTCAGCTTCGGACATCCATGCTAGATGTGGGAGGGCTCAAAAAAACCTGATTTTAACTCATTTAGTCTACACTCTGCTTCAAAGAACATGACCAGGATGAGCTCAACATGGAAAAACACCTCAGTACCAACTCTGAGCCACCCATTTAATAGACTTTTCTGCAGAACTAGAAGCTGGCAGCTAAAGCAGCCCCCATGTTCCCAGCAGGATAATCAGAGGCACCTGCCACAGGAGGCCTGCGGGGCTCGGCACTGCCTGCTACCACGCCGGGCAGACGGCGGCCACTAATGACAGGTTTGCATCCAGAGGGGAGGCACCCTGAACTCCGTGGCCCTCATGGTCTCCCCTGTGACATGAAAGGCTGGCCGTCACCAAGTCCTCCACACTCAAATTTTAACCCCACTGAAGTTCCTCCACCTGGAAATCTGGCCACTCACAACATATTTACAGATGTGAATGGAACACATCTGGAACTTCTTGGGGTCAATGGTTTTGTAAAGTGAGATCAACCAGTTACTTTCCTCCAAATTTCTTTCACGGATTAGGATTTTTTTTTTCACATCAGACTAATAGAAAGCTTCCCTCAAACAAAACACAATAGAAACAAAACCAAAAATACCGAGCAACTATCACCACTCTCTAATTCAGGAGTTTCCTCACCTCAAAAAGAAGCTCACCCCTGTTACCTGCCCCACACAGTCCTTCCCTCTGCCCAGGCAACCACCAGTCTTTCTGGCATAGATTTGTCTATTCCAGGCATTTCACATCAGTAGGATCGTACAACAGGTGTCTTTTATGATGACTTGTATCACTCAACCGAATGTCCTCAAGGACACATAAGCACGTCTTTCATGGTCAAAGAATAGTCCATGTCATGGATCCCCACATTTGTTCATCTGCCATCCACTGGTGGACTTTGGGGTATTTCTACTTTTTGACTATGATAAGTTGTGCTGTTGTGAACATTTATGTGTATGTTTTGTATGAATATATGTTTGCAGTCCTCTGTGATGTATACTTAGAAATGGAATTGCTAGGTCATCTGGTAATTCTACGTCTAGCTTTTGGAGGAGACATCAAGCTTTCCCAGATCAGCTGCACCCACCATTTTACAGTCCCACCGCAGTGCACGAAGGTCCAGATTTCTCCACCTTCCCTGAACACGTTATTAACCTGTTCTTCTGGTCAACAAGTGCAAAGTGATATCTCGTTGTGGCTTTGATTTGCATTTCCCTAATGGCTAATGACACCGAGCATCTTTCCTATCCTTTTTTTTTTGGCCATTAAGTATCTTCTTTGGAGAATTAACCATTCAACTCCTTTGCCTTTTATTCATGCGGTTATTTAACTTCCCCCCCCTCTTTGAGTGTAAGAGCTCCTTGTAGGTGCTAAACAGAAGACCCTACAAGTTATATGATTTGCAAGCATTTTCTCCCATGGATGGGAGCTGATTGCTTCAAGCAGTTCTAGTAACCAGCTGTGTCCTCTACCACCAGCCAACAACATCTGCTTCTACGGGGAGTGTTCCTACTACTGCTCCACGGAGCATGCCCTGTGTGGGAAGCCTGACCAGATTGAGGGCTCGCTGGCAGCCTTCCTGCCAGACCTGTCCCTGGCCAAGAGGAAGACATGGCGAAACCCCTGGAGACGCTCCTACCACAAACGCAAGAAGGCAGAGTGAGTGCAAGTGGGCAGACCCTGGCCTGGCCTGCACCCTCTGTGTTCTGACTTCCACCCTTCTTGCAGCTGAAAAAATGTGCTGGGGGTGGGGGTGGGGGGGTGGGCTCCACCTTGTCAGTGCCTACCTAGTAGTAGGGAGTGGCAGGAGGCAAGGCCCATCAACCCTGCCCAGCTGAAGGCCACTACCTGACTAGGTAATTAGAAAGGGCTTCCTCACTCTGAGAACTACTTGTGTCTACCCCTGCAGTGTTGCTGGCCTGCCTGCTGGGACCACTTCCCAGGGTTTGAATGTAGCTTCCGCCCCCTGCCCTTTCCATCCCTCATGCAGGAGAGGTGGCCCCTGTTATTCCAGCCACAAGGTGTCTTTGTGAGTGTTGTTCCAGGCCCTGTTTCTTAACCCTCCAAAAACCTGGCATCCAGAGCTGACAGTAGCCTCCAGGTGTTGTCCACCAAGGGCAGAGTGGTGAGGCTTGATCACCTCCTGGCCCCCTGCTCCTGTTAATGTGGGCTCAGCCTGTCCTGGTGCTTGTCCTTCTGCAGATATGGTGTCACTTCTCCAACCTTATCCTCACTGCTTTGTTGTATATCCACTGCTTCTGCTCTGCACTGAGCTGTGCCACCCCATCACCTGGTGTGGGCCCCCCATCCATGTGAGGAATGCCTGACCTCATACTGGCTCCCCTGCAGGTGGGAAGTGGATCCCGACTACTGTGAAGAGGTGAAGCAGACACCTCCCTACGATAGGAGCCACCGTGTCCTGGACATCATGGACATGACCATTTTTGACTTCCTTATGGGTGAGCCCTGACTGGCAGGCAGGTGGGGGCTGCCATGCACTGGGAAGGTGGGGCCCTGGGTCCTCCCCCCCCTTGTTGCCTTTTTACAGGGACTCTTGCTATACCTGGGGCTTAAAGAGTGACAAGGTCCTGCTTTACTCTGTTGTCGGACTTGGGGAGGGAGGGAGGGAGGAGCTTTCAGCAAGAGGGGTTATTATGCTTCTCTCCACAGGAAACATGGACCGCCATCACTATGAGACATTTGAGAAGTTTGGAAATGACACGTTCATTATCCACTTAGACAACGGAAGAGGGTGAGCCCTGCTCTTGCTCTTCCAGACACAACAGAAGGCCGACTGCCTCCCGCCTATTGGAACCCTGCCCAGGCCCAGAGGACGAGGTTCTCCGGGAAGGGATATGGCTGTTCCCCAAGGCCCACTCCGTGAGCGACAAAGGGTGCCAGTGCCCTGCCTTCAACAGGGGGTGGACAGGGAGTTCATGATGGTATTTCACCTAATTTTCACAGGAACCCTGCAAGCTAGGTCCTGTTATGGCCTCCTAACAGGCCCAGGAGGCTGCTGGCCAAGAAGACTGTGGGACAGGGGCCCTGTACCCCACACACAGGGGCTCCATGTGCTACTGGGCAGATGGCCTGCCCTGCCCTGATACACTGGCCTGGGGTCACTGTGGCTGACCACTGGGCAGTGCTGGCTGGCCACTGGGCCTATAGGTAGTGGTGGCTGTGGGGCCTCCACTCCGAAGACCTCAGAGACCTCAGGGTGGCCTTGGACACCCAGATGGGTACTTGTTTGATCACATCATAAAGGATGCCCTGAGCTGGGCCTCCCGCGCCAACTCCAACCAGCTTGCCCGTCACCCCTCATTTCTGAGCATCTGCCTGGGTTTGGGGGTGGGTGTGAATCAGACCCCAGGCTGATTTAGGGACCTACCTTGTCTAGACCCTGCCACATTTCTTGGGTTCTGGGGTCACACATCCCAGGCTTTGAGGTCAGACAGCCTGGGGTCTGGGTCACACATCCTGGGTTTTGGGGACACATTCCAGATTTTGAGGACACATATCCATGTTCTGGACATGCCACACCTGGCTCAGCAGGGCATGTGGGGTACTGTCGTCAAGTGCCCTGTCCCTAGGAGTTGCAAAAGGAACCGCCGCCACATTAGTGTCCACCTGCATGGGGCACCCTGGATGATTCTGCTCTTCTTCCACAGGTTTGGGAAATACTCCCATGACGAGCTCTCCATCCTGGTGCCCTTACAGCAGTGCTGCAGGTACGGCTCTCCCCACGGTGTGCCCCTGGCTTGCTGCTGGCAGATGCTGCCTGCGCCCCCATCCAGCCATCGCACAGAGAGGGGGTCATCCACAGCCTGAAACGCGCCCCGCCCCGCCCCCTCCCCTTGCACCCTGATGCTGGCCTCTCCCAGACTCAGCTCCTCACTGTCCATCACGGCACACCTCACAGGCGGTGACCGAGCCGCTGGGTGGGGTCGTGAGGAAGATAGTGTGGCCCTTTGTAAGGCTCCAGGCTCTTCCTTTTTACATGTGGCAAAACGGCTTGTGGACAAGCCATGCGCTGCTCTAGGGACGCCCAGGCAGAATGGCACCTGGCAAGTGGGCATGCCCACTCCAGGGGAAAACGGGTGGCTGCCGGCCAGTGCCACAAGGCAGGGCTCCTCTCCCCTCTTTTGTCTGAGTCAGGGCCCTGAGCAGGGCAGAGACCACCCCACCACGGGGAGGGAAGCTAGATGGCAGCCTGTCCCTGCCCTCGGTCGCCCCCTCTGAGAGGCCTGACCGCCCTCCCCTGCAGGATCAGGAAGTCCACCTACCTGCGGCTGCAGCTCCTGGCCAAGGAGGAGTACAAGCTGAGCCAGCTGATGGCGGAGTCCCTGCGGGGGGACCGGGTGGCCCCCATCCTGTACCAGCCGCACCTGGAGGCCCTGGACCGGCGGCTCCGCATCGTGCTGCAGGCTGTCAGGGACTGCGTGGAGAAGGACGGGCTAGGCCACGTGGTGGAGGACGACCTGGGCCCCGAGCACAGCACGCCGCCCCCCCAGAGGTAGTGACCAGCCCCCGCCGGCCCGCCGCGGAGAGAACACAGCGCCGAGGGAGCCCGCGGAGTCGGGACTGGCCAGGTGGAGGGCCCACCTGGGTCTGCGCTTTGTTTCCGGACCAGAGAAGTCAGCGGGGCGCTGGTGCTCACGGACAGAGGCGGTCTGGCGGCAGACACCCACCTTTTGTAGGAAGGAAGCCTTTATTTACTATTTTGTATTTATAGATGGTGTATATGTATATACATAGCAACGTCTCTATGGACCTGGACCATCTACCAAGTGACTGGAAGGACACCCTCTTCCCCCAAGGTGCTCTGGACCTGACTGAACCTGAAAGCCCTCTTCCTCCTCCTCCGGCCCTGGCACACTTCAGGGGCGAAACTGCAGGAGGCTTCTGCTGGCCCTGGGGGATTTGCATTGCGAGGATCACTTTCAGAGCGACATAGATGGAGGCGACTGACCTTGCCCTTGGCCAATCAGCAGGCTCAGGGCTTTCCTGGTGCCAGAGTGGTGCCATTTTCTTCTGATAGTGGATGTCATAGGGGTCCTCTGTGGCCCTGGCAGCAGGCCTACCTTTGCAGCATTTTTGTGGAGTAGTTTGCAATGTGGTAAAAGTGCAATAAAGATAAGGCAAATGTGTATTGGGGTCTCACTGGGGTCTAGATGTCCATTATGTTGTAATGCAGACTGTCTGCCTACCTGTTCTCCAGAAAAGCAAATCCTGGAACCAAGTGTGGCCTGGTGCCTGAGCTGGGGCCCAGATTAACACTGGAGAGCTCCAGAGGCAAGAGGTGGGTGGGGGCCTGCCCCACTTTCTGTGTGACTGTTGAGAGCTGGGCAGAGACCCTCAGATGGCAGCATTCTGTCTACACAGTCTCGGAACTGTGTGAGCACACTGTTTACTGGCAGGAACAGCGACAGTGGTGGCTGGACCGGCTTCAGAAACTGCCCACACAGGGGCTACTCTGAGCCATGGTGGCTTGAAAGATGCCAGCCCCTCCAACCAATGCACCCCCGCTGCTGGCCACAGGCCTGAAGTCCACTTCCAGCGAGGCTCCCGGCTCCTTCCAGCAGTTGCCAAGAGCATTTCCTGCATGCTGAGTGTGCCAAGCACAGGGCACCACAAAGCCTCATGCCCGGAGGAGGTGGAGAAAGCTGGGCAGGCTGAGGGCTCACTGTGGCCCTGGGGGGCAGTGCCAGGACCCCACAGGAACTCAAGTGAGCCATCAGAGTGTGCAGCAGACTATTCCTGGCCAGGGAGGGGTGTGGGAGAGGCCAATCCTTGATGGCCTTGGGGTTTTGCCCTTCGTGGGGAGCTGGGGCCCTGAGAAGGGTGGGAGGCTGTGGAGACACAACTGGCTTCCAGATCCTCCCCACCTAAGCATCTCTACTACTTGCCAGGGCCAGGGACTCAAGGGAGACACCAGCAGGGGCCTGTGAGTGAGGCCAGAGGGGAGCAGCGGATGGGGCGGGGTATGGGGCTTGAGGTAACAGGCTGCTTATGCATCAGGAACAGACAGCAGGATGACTCAGCACCCTGGGCACCCTCAGCCTCTGCTGGAAGACAGACTTCAGGGACACTTCCTCACGTCGCACCAATACTGGTGGGCTAGGCTTGTGGGCTGGCCTGCCTCACCCAGGCAGCGTTCAGGGATCTGGGCAAGGCTCCAAAGTCTTGGCTGGGGTTCACAGGGTTCAGAGCCTGGGCTTTGCCATTCCAAGAACCCAAACCAACTTCCCCTTAATGGGCCTCAGTTTTCCCATTTGCAGAAAGAGAAAAATAAAAGCAACCTTGCAATTTTGCTTTAGAGACCAGTAATAATTTATAATGATGGCTTTGTTCTTACTACAGGACAGGCGGGGGGCATGGGTGAGACAGGCAAGCCCCGTCTCCATTATCAGACACAAACACCCCACAGACCAGACACCACAAATAGCAGCGAGTGTGGCTGTGGAGAGAGGTCAGAGGAGATGTCTAAGCAGGGCAGAGAGAGGTCATCCCCTGAACTGAATCCCCAAGTTCACACACTGGAACCCTAACCTCCACATGACTGTATTTGGATATATATTTAAAGGAGGGTTAAGGTTAAATGAGATCACGAGGGTGGGGAGCCCTGACTCTGGGACTGTGGCCTTAAAAGAACAGGGACAGCTCTCTCTGCCAACAGAGGAAGCTAGGAAGGAGGCAGACCCTGGCTTTCCCAGAAACCAACCCTGCCATCAAGCCCTGAGCCCCCAAACTACAGGAAAGAAATGCTGCTGTTCAAGCCGCCCCACCTGTGGCATCATAAGAGCTGGGTTTTGTCCCCAGTACCTGACAGAAAGTCCCTGGGGATTTCCTTAGAGAGGAGTGTCTTCTAGTGAGGTGATGCCCCTGTGTAGCCACAGGGTAGGCGCTGGCCCCCAGAAAGACCACAGCAGGGTCAGCAGTGGGTGCTTATAGGCCTACCTGAGATCTGAGAGGTGGGGTTGGCTGACTACCAGCAGCTAATTACTTAACCAGCTGTAGTGGCAGGAAGGCACCGAGCTGACTCTCTGGATCTGGGCAGGCGGATAAAGGAGAGTCCTGGAGTCCTCAGTGGCTTTGTCAGGCTTCTGCTCTTCTTTCTGCATCTCTTACAGTGCTCAATGTGGCAACTGGGCACAGGGCAGGCGGGGGAGCTGGGGGAGCCAGGAGACTGGCAGGCCTCCCAGCCCCCAGCAGGTCTTTACTCTCTGGGCTCTCTCTGGGTCGCCTTGGCAGCCTGTTCCTCTTGCAGCCGCTCCACCGTGCTCTGCTGCACTGTCCTCCACTGCCCTTATATGCTCAGCCTCCAGGCTCAGGTGTGCCCCGTACACACGCCCACACCATACTCCAGGTGACCTCCATCAGGCAAGCGTGCCCCAAGCCCATCTCTCAAGTTTCTCCACCATTCAAAGCTGCAGGTGATAGCCACAAGAGGCCAACGTGCAAAAGCCTGAGCATGTTCATTTATCCTACGTCAGCCAAGACTACATAGCCAGACCTCAATAAAAGTGGAGCTCTGAGAGCCTCCGGCTTGGTGACCGCATGCAGGGAAGGCAGCCTAGAAGGGCCTGGAAGCCCCCCTCCCTCCCCATCCCCCCACACCCCCATGGCTTACCCTGAGTATCCTCCATCTGGTTGTTCTGAGCGGTGCCTTTTATAATAAGCCAATTAACTAACAAATAAAGTGTTTTCCCGAGTTCTGTCAGTCTCTCCAGCAGCTCATCAAGCCTCAGGAGGAGTCCCAGGACCGCTGGTTTATTAACCAATCAGCCAGAACCCAGGTGTCAACCTGGGAGTTACAACTGTTGTCTGAAGTGGGGTCATCTTGTGGGGCTGAGCTCCCAGCCGCAGGGTCCCTGCCCCTTCCAGATAGTACCAGAATCGTGCTGAGTCAGAACTCCCAGCTGGTGTCAGAGAGCCAGAGGGCCAGCTGTTGGGTGGAAAATCCATGCATTTGGGCGTAGAAATAGTTTTCAGCCTCAGCAAATGTCCCTCAGAGGAAGGGGTGTGACTTGTGCAAACAAAAAGCCTGAAGGCAAAGAGCAGCTGAGGAGCTCACAGACCGGAAGATATCCAGGGAGGAGGACCGAGGGCCTCCAGCCCCCCTGGCTGACCAGGGACAGCACCACAGCACCCTGGGGGACCCTCATGGGCTCTGCAGGTGGCAGAGAGGGAGATGCTGAGTGTGCCTGACAGGGTGGCAAAACCTTAAACTAAGACAGGTCTAGTCTCTTCGTAGAGTCAAACCCACCAGTCTGTATGTACCTTAACTGCCTGCTTTTCTTTTGTAGCTGAATTTGTCAGAAGTTCGGAAATAACACAAGTGAAGCCAATTAGTCACCAAAGTAGTAATTAGGAAGCGTGTGTGTGCGTTGGTGAAGGCCTTGGGTGGCAGGGGTGAGGAATTTGCACAGCCACGTGTGGCAACAAGCTCAGAACACAGCTGGTGGCCATGAGGACGCTGGCAGATGATCACCAGCTGGCCCAGGTGCAAGCCAAGGAAGGAAAAAGGCCCTGGTAGAGGGAAGGGGTCCTGAAAACGATGATGGGTAGTTCACCCCCAGGAAAAGATGGGACTCCTGAGAAACAAGAGGTGGAAGACAGTCTGTGTTAGAGGGGACTGCCCCCCCACAGGGTGAGAGCGCCCCAGAAACCAGGCTCAGAGTAGGTGGAGCCCACACACAGGAAGACAATAATAGGCTCTCAAGGCCCCCATATGGAGAACATTTAAAGAAACCTAGTAACACAAGCAACAATATTATTTTTTCAAAAGAAAAGGTGATATAACTGACTGGGAGGGGAGTGTTTGTGATGGGGGAGGGCAGAAAGTAGACTATGGAAAACTTAAATAGAAAGTTGTGGAGACTCTTGCTTCGACCAGGAAAATGAAGTCTGTCAGGTGATCTGCGGGGTCGGAAGGTGTGAAGGGACTCCGGGAGATGCAGGGGAGAGTTTGTCCCTGTTTCCAGAAGTCTGAGAGGGAAGGACACACAGGCCCGCCCCCCCTTTTGCCCCCCAGGATAACACAGCCACCTGCTCTTCCCACGTGGTTCCCCAAATGCAACTTGTCACTCACTGGGACCCCAGCAAGTGGACAGATGCCATTAAAATCCAAACCCACAGGGGAGGGAGGGCCAGAACCCTTAGCAGCTCCTGTGGTCAGGATACAGGGGCTGTCTGCTCTGGCCCCTCCCCCACCTCCAGGAAGGTTCACCTGAGTGGCCTGTGACAGACTGATTCACCCCAAAGGAGGGCCTCAACAGAAGCAGGTGGAGAGGCTTTGTGAGCCTCTGCAGGGAGGGGTGGGTGGAGCAGTCAAAGGTGAGAAGACCCGACCTTTGTCCAGAGCAGAAGTCCCGTGGCCGGGTGGGGCAGGACTCCCATATACGCTGAGGGGCCTTACTCATCTCGGGTCTGGAAGGCGGAAGGAAGGGGTTTGTTGGTTTGTGGTCTGGGCAGGTACAGCCTAACTGGGAGCTGAGCCCTCTGGAATGACCATCCAGCTTCAAAGTGGGGGGTGGGGAGACCCACAGCTCAGGGTCTGAACTGTAATGGGATGTGGGGGTCGAGGGGGAAGACATTAAAGAGACAGGAGTGTCCCCCCTCTGTTGGGTAGCTCTGGGCTGGGAGATGGGTTCTGACCTGCCTCAGCCTAGAGCAGGGCAGCTCATCTAGGTTACTGTGGGGGCTCCAAGGCGCCAGCCCACCAAAGCCCCTGTGTTGCCCTGTCCTGTAGGTCCCCCACATAGCTTACCAGACAAAACGCTGCAAACGGATGTGTCTTCTGTAGGTGGCCCCGCAAGGCCTCAAAGGCCGCAGATGCTCATGTGTGGGCCTCTTGCGCCATCTAGAGGAGAGTGCGTGAAAACAAGCTCCAGAGTCCTTGGGTCGCAGGGACCAGAGCCAGGACAGGGGAGTCCCCTCCATCCTCAGAGCCAGAGTCCAGGACCTCAGAAGCAGAAGAAACCCAAGGAATGTGAGGTGCAGTCCCTCAATCAGGAAGTTCATTAACAAGACCCCAGCCTTACCCTCCAGAGCCCATGGATTTAGGGTGACCCCTGGCTCCCACAGGCAGGCCCAGAACCCAGGCAGGGGCCCTGTCTATCTGCTGCCCATGCTCTTACAGAACCTT